GTTGCAGCAGAAGCTGTAATTGTGAATTACTGAGCTAGTGAAACATGATGTCCAATTTTCTATTACATTTTTTTCCAAGTGGAAAAGTTAACTAAATGGTTGACACAAAATGGCGGAGAAAATTGTGCATATGCCAAAGTTTGTTACCTTTTACTTGAGTTCTTATTGTTTTTGAATGGCATGAATAGTCCTCTGCAACAGTTGCGATAATTGTAAATGCTCACATCTGTGCACTCTTTCTAGTTATTCCTCCCTGAAAGTTGTACACCTAAAACATTCTTACAATTGTTGGTTTCTATGTGCAACATACCAATTCAGCTGATATGGCAGTAACAAAATATTCCAGTTTTTAAGCATAGGAAAGACTTTGCCTGCTTAACTGTGCTAGAACTAACAGCATCAAAAGTGAAGGCTTAAGAGAAACTTAGCGACTAGATTATCTTTAGGACTCTGCATTAACTCTATAATGTTCTTGGTATAAAAGGAAAAACAGCATATTTGTCACGGAAATTTAATTAACATCTTACAACTGAACTTGTATGTAAGTTGCTTAGATAAATGTAATCACTGTAAACATCTATATGATCTGGAATTTTGTTTTTATTTTGAAATGGGAGCTTTTTTGTTTATAAGTTCATTAAACAATTACACGCTATCACTCTGAATTCCAGGATTTAATGAGTTATCACATTTTCAAGCACAGAGAAGGATAAGAAGGAAATCAATATAATAAACCCTTCATTTTAATATGACTGTTCAACCACACATCTAACATTGGCACAAGTGCTCAAAGATTAAAACAAAACAAAACAAAACAAAACATTCTTTGTTCGTCCTGGCTCTGAAGTTTAGGGTCTTAATTTAGTTGCTCTCTCTCATCCAAGATGTAGGCTCCTCTAGGTCACTGATTCAAATCAATTTCTGACTATAGTAACCAGAAGTCACAGTCATCTGAAGGCTATTTAGAAGATTATATGAAATGTGCTAGGGAGAGTTCTCAGCAAACTACTGTTGTATCAAGTCACTATTACATCTGATGTTATGTAACTGATTTGTAGGCAGTATTAAAGAGGCTAGGGCTGAGCAGAGACACAAACTGAACACCCAGCACTATCTTCAAGGTAGAGGTGTGGTACATTGGTACAGACAGCATGTAGGAAAGACTGCCTTTTTATTGTCCTGGGGATAGACAGACTTTAGTCTCCAAGACATTTTCAATCCAGTACTTTCCATGGTAGTAAGTTCACTTAAAAAATTCAGGGGCTAACTTCTACAGACAGGTCACTCCAGTTTCCAGCAGGACACTCAGATCCCATTATTGCTTCCCCCACCCCATGGGGGAAAGCAGGGCCTGTTATGTTTATAGGAGCTGGAGAGCATAAACTCTCCTTCAACGTCCTACCAGCATTGCTTTGCAAAAAAAAAAAATCAGTTACAGAGAAACTAATGTTCACTGGTATTGAGCTAGCCAAGGAAGCTACAGTACATTCAACTCCAACCAGCGGTTACAATGTGGGGGGTGATGATGAGAGACCTAAAAAGTGCCATGGGATTCAACCAGGTTGGTTGAGAACTCATGACATTTGCATCTGGGGGAGTGAATCTGGTTTCTGATCAAGGAGATAAACAACTCATTGTTTGTCACTCATTAAGTCGCTCTGCTCTGTTTAGCTATTGTTATGATGCACTTTACAATGGGCAATCTTAAACGCCACCTTAAAATCTATATTTCTGCAGTGGTATAAGACGATAGTTCTAGGTCTGAATTTTCTTGCTTTTATTAGTTTAACTGAGACCATAGCTAGTGTTGAATTGCTCATACAACAATGCTGATCTCAGATACAGAAGCAGCTCTAGTAATAACAAACTAAAATGTTAGCACCATGACTATGTTAGACTTTCCAGGCAAAAACTCAGTGAACTCTATGGTGCAAGAATCTTCTTTATTTCAATGGGAGTTCTGAGTGACAACATGCCAACCAGTATTGGGGAGGAAGATGGGGGGCGGGAGAAAAATCACAAGATGCTCTTCAATATTATCATTTGAAGCCTTACCACACCACACTAGCCGTTCAAGGTGCTAAAATACCACAGTATAGGCGCCATAGAATAGTATAGTTAGGGGCAGCTACTCTGATGGCATAATCCCTGTTAATCAAATTATTATCAATACCCCCAAACTCTCCAAGGTGTAGGAGGTCTTAGAGGAAGGGCTGAGTGAACAATAGATCATGAACTCTGAAGCCCAAAGGTTTTCTCTTCAGTCCAGCAGCAAGATGCATGGGTGCAAACAACACTATGCATAGCTAAATTGAATTTGTTCTATAAATACTGTCCTATAAGACAAACACCTAAGTAACCAACTGTCTAGCACCTAACACACACTGATTCCAAAATCTTTCATTCTGCAGGATTTATTTTCCAACACATCATCAGCCTTTGTATATATGCAAAGATCTCATGGTGCTAAGCATCTCACAAGTATAGTCAATCCAATTTCAATAACTTTCCTGGCATGACAAGTCATAAAAGTATTGCTAGAGTCAATTAATCAGGACTCCGGATATACATCAGTTTAGAAAGAACATGTTTAAATATACATGTTATAACTTTAGATTAATGCGATGTTGTTGGTATGCTTCAGAAAAACTCAAGGGGACAAAGAATCCTTAGTTTTCAGCCTTTGGATGCCAATATTTACCAAAGAATCTATTACTCCTAAGCACACCTATAAAGTGTCATTGAGACCAATGTCACAGGCAACCCACAACTTTATTACTTTATTACTAAATATCAAAGTAAATACTACTTTAAAGGGCCAGTGTCAAGAATGTTAGGTCTGAAATTAGACTGGCTACTTATTCTGGATCTTTCGTGATGAACACAAACATGCACATCACAGCTTGTAATAGCCACAAGCAGCCACTAAGGACCCTATTTTTCAAAGGATCTTCTTACACTCTAATGTGGACAGCAGAGGAGGACAGATGTTGAAATTCATGACTATTAACCAGGTCAAGTTCAAAGCTCTAGGACTGTTTTAAGTTGGTTACACAACAAAGAAACTGGGTTTCATCCCAACTTATGGCTCCTCTTTTGGGCAGACACAGAAGTATTGGTGAACCCTGGCTATTTCCCCACCTACACCAAAATAATTTTGTAGTCTGAAACATTCATAGGCACTTAAGGGTTTTAGACAATTGAATCCTAGTCTGTGGGACCCTAGGGCTGTTGCTACACTTCAAAGGCAGAGGCGCCGTATCAACTAATTGAATAGTCAATGCCAAATGCATTGACTATTTGATTAGTAAATTAGTCGATATTTAACACCCTTAATTCAAATTACCTTTTCTGTCCACTTCAATTTTGACACAATTTCAGCAGGTGATATCTCCAATGTTAGCAGTTCTCTGTTATACTACTCAAAGGCTGAGACACCAACTTATTTTCAAATGATAAATGGCATCAGTTTCTAACTGTTAAGGCCCCATCTATTTTACAGAAGTCAGTACTCATTTTTTGCAACTATATATGCATTAGTGTAGAGACTAGCCTCTGGCAGCTTTACTATATCAGCTAACCTTGCTGGAGGTATCTGCACTAAAGAAAAGGTGCCTTAGGCCTGGTCTACAAGAACAATGAGTTTGCAGCAAGCTGAAATGGCAAGCTAATAATGGGACTAGCTCCAAGCACTTTAACCAACTAGAAACAGGCATATTCAGCAGAGTGTATATTAACAGACTGCGGGCGAATAGTGCAGGGGTAAGTTCATACCCCATCTTACCACAAAGTAATTGTGTTTCTGTAGATGAGTGCTTAGTGTAAAAAGCATATCAGCCACCAACACCATTTTATGCATGGTGTTCTTGCATGCCTAATCAACAGTTATCAAAGCAATGCTGGCAGCTGGAGTGTTGTCTGTTCTAGGGTTCAGCACTGATGGCATAGTCAAAACTCAAAGTGAGCCCTGATGAGAGGGTGGTAAAACTGTTTAAAGACCTATATACCCTAATGCGTGCTTCACTGTTGAAAAATACAGACCAGTTTTCCAAGTTCAGATGCATCCTAGTTGTTCCTAAGACAGCACTAAAATCCCATCTGAAGTCAAGCGGAGAATGACAACACAGGATGGTGACCAAAATGATTTTTAAAAAGGCATCAATAAATTGCAACTAGGCCTAAGAATAAATGTTTCATATCCCTGAGGAGTTTTCCATTGGTACCTCATCTGCTGTTGTGGAAGATCTCAGATTAGCAGTGATTTCTTTGCATTGATCCAGGACTGACTACAGCAAGTCCTATGGACACCAAAAATCAACATAATTTTCATTCCTTGCAAGCAACCTCAACCTACTAAGCAGCTAACAAACATCTGGGCCATTTTGAGGCACTTCCTTTCAGAAATACTCTACAAGCAAATCAGTCACAGCAGAGATTCTCCTCTTCATAAATTAGCCATTTGGGGCATGCTAAATAGGCAAAAATTAAACTGAAAGTTCGATTGGTGCATTTAACAGCATTCTGGAGATCCTCCATTCAAAGGCAGTTTTTAAAAGTTGTATCAAGAAGGACAAGCTGTGTCCTAGGTTTCTACCTTGGTTACTAAACTCCACGAAAAATGGACACAATGGGAACAATAACAAACCATCAGCTATAACACAATTCAGTGGGTGCTGTCATAGTACCTGCCTAGTAATAACCAGTTAGACCTGGAGACAACTCCTCATGTCTGTGCTGGGTTTGGTAAAGCCATCCACTAAGGGATTTGGATACTGGCCTAACAGCAGCACAAAAAAGGAGCAAGGCCCACCCAAGAGTTAGAATTTGGGGAACAAATCTCTCAGTTTCAGCAGCAGAAACCATTTCAGAAAAGAAGACAAGGGGAAGGCTCCTTCTAGAATAGACCAAGTCACACTGGCCTAGATTTTATGTTTTTTTAAACCCAGAAGGAGATGGTAGCTGCTGGGATGGGATCAGAGAGACAAATAAAAAACCCATGCCACAAAGGCACAGCTTCAGTGACCAGGAGCTGGTGATGTGCCAATATGTGCTGAAGGCAGATGTGCCAAGCTTCTACCATCTTTTCCCTGGAAAGAGAGGGGAGCCAGCACTCTTCCTTCCCTATGCCTGTATATGAGGGGCTTTGGACAGACTCTGAGGGAACAGGGCATGTGTGAAATCCTCCTGGTGGCTGGGGGGAAAGCAGAGCATTAGGGGAATAGGGAGTATCCACATCTCCAGGCAAGTGACCAGGCACTCCCTAGAGAGAAAGGCATGTTATGGGGAGAGGGTACCCCCATCTAGCTAGGATAGAAGGAACCCAAATCAACCCCTCCTGCTTGAAGGGGGGGGTCACCAGGGTGACTCATGCTTATCCCAGCAGGGGATGAGCGAGGCCCCGCTACCTGAGAGGGGACCACCCAGGCCAGGGGCGGAAGGGAGTCTGGGAGCAGAGCCCCTTCCCTCCATCTTCCTAACGGGGATTCGGAGGGGGAGGGGCTGGACCCCAGCAGGCAGCCCCGGGATCTGGGTGGGGGAAGGGCACTGGGCACCAGCCAGCCCCTGGCTAGGGGGGAGGCCCCCGGCTGCCCCTCCTACCTGTGCGGCGCTGCCATGGCGGCTCCCCAGCCTCCTCCTCAGGGGGGCGGGGGCCCGAACCCCGCGGGCCCGGCCTTCTCTCCCCCAATCACCACATGCAGAGGGGCGGGGGCGCTGGGCACCGCAGCTGCCATGGAACCGCCGGCTGCCCAGACCAGACGGACTGACTGACTGACAGGAGGCCCTGCCCTCCTCCCCGCCTCCTCGACCGCTGGCCAATCCCGCCCCGGGAAGGGACATTCAGAACCCGCCTACCGAGCCTCATCCTCCAATCGGAGCTCAAAGTTGGCAACCCAACTGTATCCACACCCACCAGCAACCGAAGAGAGAGTGAGATGCGGATCCGAGAGGGGGAGGAGGGAGTGGAGGGGCGGGGATATAAGCCACGCCCATTAAGCATTAACCAATAAGCACTCATTGTGGCTAATGGACAAGACTTCTCACCTACTATGTTTAAACAGACGTTGAGTGGCAAGATACAGAGGGCGCGACTCCCCTTGTTACAGTGACCAATAGGAAACGCGATCGGAATTGATAGACTGGTCTGATCACCTATCAAATGCAGAAATGTTTTGGAGTGGCATGCTCTGTGATGGAAGACAATAATCCCTATCTCTTGCTCCAAGGGCCAATAGATTAGTAGACTACCTTTGATTGACAGGTAAATAAACTAATCAGCTACAGGGAGGTTTAGGAGTGGCAGCTCGGCAAACCAACGGCTATTGAAGACTAAGCTGCCCAGGTCTGTGCCGCCCTCTGAGCAGTGAAAGAGCTCTAATTGGTAGAGAGCGGGAGACGGACAAGGCTCTCAACCTATGGGGCGTCGAGTAGATGAAGGCGCGTTGCTGCCGTTTTTCGTCGCCTCCCAGGCAGTTACCTGTCAGCAGGCAGAGGCTAGTGCGGCAAGGGGGGAAGAAGCTGAGGAGAAACCTTGAACGAGGGGCTAGTAGGGAGCTTTGAGGGAGGGGTACTGAGAGGTGGGCCTTGGCAGGAGGTTCCTTGGGAGCATTGGGGGAGGGCCCCCAAGCAGATGGCAGGGGGCTCCCAGGGAGCATGGTGGGGATCCCCAAAGAGCCCAGAGGGGATTGCATCAGGAGAGTCAGGGCCCTGAGCATTTCCTCAGCCCTTTCTCCCCCCACACAGCCTTAGCGCAAGATGGGGCAATGGTGAAGCGTTAACTTCTGTGGCCTGCAGGGTCCGAGTCCCTGGTCCCCTTCTCAGCGGGATACCCAGGAACGGTGCAGTGCAGAGCACCCTGAGCGTCTGCTGCACTGGGCGCATTGACAGGACTCCTGAGTCTGCGGCCGCGGACACAGAGCGGGGCAGCATGGCTGAGAGCCAGGTGACCTTGCAAAATGAGAGGAAATAATGTCTACAGCGATTTATTTCCTGGCGTTGTCACTGCCTTCCTCCGTCTCTCTGAACAAGTCTCTCGTTCCTGCAGGTGGTTCAGATGCTCGTCCAAAATTTTGGGATGCCCCTGGTGCTTTGTTGCTCTCAAAAGTGTTGCAATACGTGTCACAGTGTGACAAATGGGTGATTAAACCACAGGGAGAATAAGTGAAATGGGCACCCTGATTTCATGCATGATGAACAATGGAATTTTTGGTGTTATTTTTTATTATTCCTACGGTGTGTGCCTTCATTTCCTTGTATGCCTTGCATTGCTGTGCATGGAGTATATAAAGGGTTAAAAGCCACTTCTAGGGCAAAGGAGAAATGGGGTATTTCTGTCACTGTCGAGGTTGGTGCAAATGGGTTGTCCAAGGACTGTTTGAAACTAGCCCCTCTCGATGGTGGATGCACAAAAATAGAGGGTATCCTAAGAGCTGAACAACTGATACCTAGCCACATAAAACTCTTGCGTGAACTCATCATGAGTCTGCAGGAGAAGGACAGTGGACCAAAATATGACAGGAGGCTAGAATAAAAAGTGGTATTTCTATACAGCAACTCTCAACTGGGTCTGAGAGAGAATAGGACAGAGAGAGAGAGAAAACCAAAATGACTCTTTCAGTAGCATGGATCAAGAGGGTGCTGGTTTTGCCAGTATGAACTGTGTCTATGGATTTTTCCATGATGACAGATAAACATTACTTTGTTTTGAAAAGTCTGCCTACTGTCATTGCAAATACTTGCTGAGGTGCATTAACTCCAGTAGAGGGCAAAAAGTCACAGCAAAGGAATCTCATTTGGACTCACTGGAGTCCACAGGCTCAGTCTCATTGGCGGAGATATTGCCTGCCCTACCCATAAGGAAGAGTTGGATCCTTCAGGTGCTCCTCCAAGAGTCTGTTCAAAAGTTGGGACATAGTGCAGATCCTGTGGATCCATGACAACACAACCAAAGATTTACTCTAGTACTGTGTTTTTCAGCCTTTTCCATGCCAGCATGATTTAATCCAAATGAAGAAACACCATCCAAATGAAGAAACACGCCATCAAGAACTCTTGCCCAGTTTTGGTGGGATCCTCCACCTTTCAGCAATATGGGAAAGAGAGTGACAAGCTATCTCAAAGGTTAAGAACACCTACCGTACTAATCTAGATTTTCAGAGAGCCATTATTACAATAGTGTTTGAGCACCATGCAGTCTTTAATTATACCTATTTTATAACTTCCATAGCTGTGGTAAAGAGACATGAATTAATTATTCTTTAGTCAAGTGTGTGTGCACTAAAGTAAAAAGGGCTTTTAAAACATAGATTGGGAAATCTGATAATTGTAGTAAGAGATGAAGACGTAAACTCTGAAGTGGAGCTATTCATTGGAACTGGAATTTTGATTCTGACCTTGAGTTTTGGTTCAGATGCATCACTAGATTCAGTAGCTAGGATAAAAACATAAGGAGGTATTAATTAAGAAAAAGTTTCCCTATGGTACAGTTAAGATTGCTGCACAATGCATCTCATTCCAGTAACATCAGGGTTCACAAGTCAAAACTGAAATGGAATAAAGCCAAAATATATTTAATTAAAGCAACATCTCACACACAGCACACCAAGATTTCTGCTCCTCTCTAGGTACTTAGCCAAAAGTGGCACATTATGGGGTAGGATGCCTATGAGGGACAGGTTTCTGTTGATGCTGGCCATTCATTATGTTTTAGGTCTTTGGGGAGCCTTTTCCACCCTGTTTTCATTGGGTCCAACTTGAAGATGATTCTTACAGGGCAGCTGGTAGGCATTCAAAGCAGATAACCACAACATCTTTGAGAGTGTTGAGAGGCAACAAGCTATCAGACAAGTCATGGGGCAGCCAGACCAAGTGGTCAGAGCCAAGGTCCACAGTCACAGGATGGGAGTCAAGAGTCAGTCAGGTCAAGATACCGAGAGATCAGACACAGCAAACAAACTTGAAAGCTGAATTACAAATCAGTAACCAGATTAGGTTGGGGTACCAGGAGGTCAGTGGCAGGAGACAAATTACAGGACAGAACCACAAGCTGGGGATCCTGATTGGTCCACAGCCTCTAAATAAACCCAGCACAGGAGCAGAAAGCACATAGAGCAGGATGAATTCCAGTTGCATAGACAGCTTTCTGGTCCTGTGCTGGGTTTATTTAGAAGCTGTGGACCAATCAGGATCCCCACTAGTCTGCCAAGCAGGTTCTAGGCCTGGAGTCCTCTGTCAGGGTTCAAAATCTGCCCTCACAACTGTTAGGGACACCCTGGATCACATGGTGGAGTTTACAAGCACCTAAGAATGAAGGGACCCCTCAGTTCAAGACCTTCAGTTCCTGACATCACCCAAGGGGCACTTCGTGGGTGCTGTGGGACCAGGCTTTTCAGGGTGATTCAGCATGTGCATTTTCTGAAGGCTCACAGGTATGTTCCCCATTTCCCTTTCAGTCATCAAGATAGCAGAACCTTCTGGCTATGTCTACACTCGCGGCTTCTTGCGCGAGTAATATGCAAATGAGGCTAAGCGTGGAATATCGCTGAACCTCATTTGCATATCTAATGAGCCACCATTTTTTTCAGAAGAGGCTCTTGCGCAAGAAGGAGCGTCTACACTGCCCCTTCTTGCGCAAGAAAAACCCTCTTGCGCAATGCCGTTCTTCCTCTCAAGTGAGAGGAAGAACGGCATTGCGCAAGAGGGTTTTTCTTGCGCAAGAAGGGGTAGTATAGACGCTCCTTGCGCAAGAGTCTCTTCTGAAAAAAATGGTGGCTCATTAGGTATGCAAATGAGGCTCAGCGATATTCCACGCTTAGCCTCATTTGCATATTACTCGCGTAAGAAGCCGCGAGTGTAGACATAGCCTCTGTGTTTGTATTTGGAGTCCAGGATCTCATGAACCACATATGGCCCTGTACCTGTGCCAGTGGAGACAGTGGCTGGTCTTGTGAGGTAAGGCTTTTCTGAGTAGGGTTTCAAAATATGTGAAAGAAGACAAATAGAAATGGTATTTTTTCTGGAGGAGAGCAGTGAGGGGCTCAGTTTATGGTTAATAAATTGTTGATAGAGATTGGCAGGCCCAGGAAGCATTGCAGGTCACATACCATATGGAGAGTCAGCAAGTTTTGGACATCTTGGAATACACGAGTCAATCTGAATCCCTTCTGGAGATAAAATGAAGCCCAAGAACTCCATAGAGGCTGGATTGAAGACACAATTCTCAAGCTTCGCATAAAGGCAATGCTGTCACAAGTGTTCTAGCACGATTCAGTTGTGAGCAGTATGATGTTCAGAATAGTCAGACAAGATCAATATATCCCTGAGGTAAACTACTATGTACTGATCCACTATGTCTCAGAACACATAATTATAAAATGTTGGAAGGTGACTGAAGTATTGGTCAACCTGAAAGGCATTACCAGATTTCATAGTGGCTATACCAGGTCCAGAATGCAATCTTCTCCTCCTCCCCCTCTCGATTCACATGAGGTGGTAAACTATTCATAGGACCAAAAGATGGGTAGTCCCCACATACTCTAGCAGCTTCAGAATCAAAGGTAGCAGGTAAGAGTTCCTAATCATTAGGTGATAAATAAGCAATAGTTCATACAGAATCACAGCCTGCTGTTTTTCTCTTTGACAGACACGATGAATGCGCCAGCCAGCAAAGTCAACTTGCAGATAAACCCTCAATCCAGATTTTCTTGGGTGCATTCTTAGAACCCTGTCATATCAGGGTCCAGCATGGCATAAATTCATCCAATTATATTTTGGCTCCTGGCTGCAGCTCTGTTGGGTGATCATAGTCCCAGGGCACAGGTAGGAGCTCTGCATTCTACATTTCAAAAAGATCAACATAGTCTTGGTATTTCAAGGGGCGCTTAGACGTACCTGCAATGGAAGATTCTGCCTGGCTGGTCACTTGAATCTCTCATGGTTTAGATCAGGAGTGAGGAACCTTTTTTGGATTGGGGACCACCAAGTCACAGAAAAATCAATTGGGGACGTTCCTCTTGCACACTAGAACCTAGGAGGGTCCAAACTAGTAGATTTTGTTGGCCCTCCCAGGCTCTGGGGTGGAGCCCGAAATGAGGGGTTCAGTGTGTGGGATGGGGTTGCTGGTAAGTGGGCTTTGGGTGTGGTGTCTGGGAGTGGGAGGGAGGGTGCAGGAGTGGGTTGGGAGTGGGAAACATGGGCAGGAGGAGGAGTGCAGGACTGGGATCTGAGTGATGAGGGAGCACTTACCTCAGGATGCACATGGGTTCCCTGAGGATGCACATGGCTCCGTGTCCCCTCCTGTTCCCAGGTACCAACCCTTGCTGCTCCTATTAACTATGGTTACGGCCAATCAGAATGGTGGGGGGAAAGTGTCTGGGCAGTGCTTTGCTGCTCTTCTGTTTTCCCAGCTGGAGGAGGGGAGTGGAAGCATGCAGAGCCACTTCCTCCGTCTGCCAGGCAGAGCCTTTGTATTGGATACAGCCCCAGCTTGCCTGACTCTGGACTGTAAGGCCCAGTGATCCCCTCCCCTCCCCACAATGAGGAGCTGGCTCTCCATCCCCGAAGTGGGGGGAGGTGCAGAGCTGCAGCACCAGCGCCAGTTCCCGATGCTGGGGGGGAGGAACCCTGAAGTTCAAGAGCTGGATCCAGGCAAGCCAGGGACCAGATCCAGTCCCCAGGCTGTAAGTTCCCCAACCCCGGTTTAGATACTGGGACAGGATCTACTGATTTCCAGCAATGCTGCCAACAAAACTGTTGGAAAATAGATTTCCTGTGCTTGCCACCAAATGACCAACTTGTGGAGGATCAGCAAAGAAATACTAAGGATCAGGACAAAGCGTGAAGAATGTTACTAAATTGTAATATTTCTTGGTACCCCTGAATCACAGCCTCAGTGGTTTCCTCCATTGCTGGATTAGAAGATAAAGGAACTACCAATAGCCTCTGTAAGGCCAGGAGTAACCTTCTGTTGTAAGGGAATTTGCAGGGTCTGGGCTTCTTTTCTCTCTTATTAGTTGGACTTGAGTTGATGAGGGGCAGAAGGCCAGGATTGTGCAGGGGTGCTCCAGACATATGCAACTGGACTGGCACCTGCAAATGGGGTGCTGTTGGGCTGGATTCTTGATGTGTTTCACTCAGAACTGACGTCTGGGAGAGCTGTATTCTCTGACGCTTTTAAATTCGTAGTGGGCAGATAGAGATGGCGTAACCTCACTCATCACAGTAGAAGCAGAGATTGAAAGGAATGACAATGCAAGCACTATGTTCTTTTCTATTCTGCAAGTCCCCAGTTTTTCCCTCCTTTCATTCCAATAACCTATGGTCTTCATGGATGGCAGGATCCAGGAGGGTATCCAAACTTGCAGGCATCTTTATACAGGCTTATTCATCTTTAACCTCTACTTGCAGGCTCCACCAGAATGGTCATGTCTGTGCTGCCTCATTCCAGTTTGTTACCAGCCATGAAGCAATGGAATAGGAAGCAGGAAGAGCTGCTGTTGGAACCAAGAGACTTTTGGTATGGACTTTGAAGTTTCACGTGGACTTTGGGGAAAGAGCCCATATACCCGTCTACAAGTGCTTATTTCAGAAGGCTTTATTAAAGGGAGCTATAATGCTGTAAAGAAGACCTTTTGGCTTCTCCTTGTTGGGACTCTTCAAGTGATCTTAATATTACTGCATTAAGGGAGGGAGGAACCAGAGGCAGGCCACAGGAGAGCCACAATCAGCAAGAGAGGTGCACCGAAAGTAGTTGTGACTGGAAAAGGGCAAATATTGTGCCCATCTATAAAAAGGGGAATAAGAACAACCCAGGAAATTATAGACCGGTCAGTTTAACGTCTGTCCCAGGGAAGATAATGGAGCAGGTAATTAAGGAAATCGTATGCAAACACTTGGAAAGTAATAAAGTGATAGGGAATAGCCAGCATGGGTTTGTGAAGAACAAGTCATGCCAAACTAATCTGATAGCTTTCTTTGAAAAGATAACGAGCCTTGTGGATAAGGGAGAAGCGGTGGATGTCATATACCTAGACTTTAGTAAGGCATTTGATACGGTCTCGCATGATATTCTTATTGATAAACTAGGCAAATATAACTTAGATAGGGCCACAATAAGATGGGTGCATAATTGGCTGGATAACCGTAGTCAGAGAGTGGTTGTTAACGGTGCTAAATCCTGCTGGAAAGGGATAACAAGTGGAGTTCCTCAAGGGTCTGTTTTGGGACCCGTACTATTCAATATCTTCATCAATGATGTAGATATTGGGATAGAGAGTACTCTTATTAAGTTTGCAGATGATACCAAACTGGGTGGGGTTGCAACTTCTTTGGAGGATAGGGACATAATTCAAAATGACCTTAGCAAGTTAGAGAAATGGTCAGAGGTAAACAGGATGAGGTTTAATAAAGAGAAATGCAAAGTGCTCCACTTAGGAAGGAACAATCAGTTCCATACATACAAGATGGGAAGCGACTGTCTAGGAAGGAGCATGGCGGAAAGGGATCTAGGGGTCATAGTGGACCACAAGTTGAATATGAGTCAACAGTGTGATGCTGTTGCAAAAAAAGCAAATATGATTCTAGGTTGTATCAACAGGTGTGTTGTAAGCAAAACTCGTGAAGTCATTCTGCCGCTCTACTCTGCACTAGTTAGGCCTCAGCTGGAGTACTGTGTCCAGTTCTGGGCGCCACATTTCAAGAAAGATGTGGAGAAATTGGAAAGGGTACAGAGAAGAGCAACAAGAATGATTAAAGGTCTAGAGAACATGACCTATGAAGCCAGGCTTCATGAACTGGGCTTGTTTAGTTTGGAAAAAAGAAGATTAAGGGGGGACATGATAGCGGTTTTCAAATATCTAAAAGGGTGTCACAAGGAGGAAGGAGAAAATTTGTTCCTCTTGGTTTCTGAGGACAGGACAAGGAGTAATGGGCTTAAAGTGCAGCAGGGGAGGTTTAGATTGGACATTAGGAAAAAATTCCTAACTGTCAGGGTGGTCAAATATTGGAATAAATTGCCAAGGGAGGTGGTGGAATCTCCCTCTCTGGAGATATTTAAGAACAGGTTAGATAGACATCTGTCAGGGATGGTGTAGACAGAGCTTGATCCTGCCTTGAGGGCGGGGGGCTGGACTCGATGACCTCTCGAGGTCCCTGTGGGTTCTGTACTCTGACCTATGGCAACAAACAAACAAAATTTCAGAAAACCAAGAAATGCACAGGGCAACCACAAAACCTTAATTCTGCTCTGTCGATGCTGGAAATATACTTCAGACATTACTATCCAGATTACAACTCTCAAATTCAGGAACTATCTGGTCTGGGGTTATGGCGTATCCATATTGTGATTCACAGTTTTTGTGGTGCAAGCAAAAGGATCTGTGGATCAGTTCACTAAGGCCTTGCCATAATGTGACAGTGACCTTTTAGAAACAAAACATAAGAGTGGGCTGGATGATACAAACATAAAGAGTCAGCACATATCATGTTCCTGCTCTAGATTCAGCCAGCACCAGAAGGAAGCAAAGGAGTGTTTAGAGGTTGTTTAAATTAGCTTTCTGTTCCCTGTGTGCAGCATTTGTGTATGTAATATGGAGGGACTGGCATTTTATCCCCATCAAAATTAATCTTTTTTCACCTTCACAAGGTTGCATTTGTGGAGAGGTCAACTATGAGAAGCATGATGTATTTTACTCTACTATGGGCTACAAACAAGGGCTGCGTCTAGACTGGACAGTTTTTCCACAAAATCAGTTGCTTTTGCGGAAAAACTTGCCAGTCTAGAACACTGGCCGCTTGAATTTCCACAAGAACACTGACATGTAACATTGTCAGTGTTCTTGCAGAAATACTATGCTGCTCCCACTCGGGAAAAAGCCCTCTTGCGCAAAGGCTTTTGTGCAAGAGGGCCAGTGTAGACAACGCGGTATTATTTTGCTCAAAAAAGCCCCGATCGCGAAAATGGTATGGACCATGGATCGTGTAGATTGGCACGGACGCTTTTCCGCAAAAAGTGCTTTTGCGGAAAAGTGTCCGTGCCAATCTAGATGCTCTTTTCCGCAAATGCTTTTAACGGAAAAACTTTTCCGTTAAAAGCATTTGCAGAAAATCATGCCAGTCTAGACGTAGCCAAGGAGGATTATTATAGTTTTGTTTTTTCTGTATGCAGAGTTGCATAGAAATGGGGTAATATGATTACTACACTCAGAACATCTGGGCTGTGTCTAGATTGGCATGATTTTCTGGAAATGCTTTTAACGGAAAAGTTTTCCGTTAAAAGCATTTTCGGAACAGAGCATCTAGATTGGCACGGACGCTTTTCTGCAAAAGCACCTTTTGCGGAAAAGCGTCCATGCCAATCTAGACGTGCTTTTGCGCAAAAAAACCCCGATCTCCATTTTTACGATCGGGGCTTTTTTACGGAAAACAAATCTGAGCTGTCTACACTGGCCCTTTTGTGCAAAAGTTTTGCGCAAAAGGGACTTTTGCCTGAACGGGAGCAGAATAGTATTTCCGCAAGAAGCACTGATTTCTTACAGTAGGAAGTCCGTGCTTTTGCGGAAATTCAAGCAGCCAGTGTAGACAGCTGGCAAGTTTTTCCGGAAAAACTGGCCAGTCTAGACACAGCCTTATGATTAGATGCCAGAATTTCATCTAAAATTAAACTCACAGGCCCCAATTCTCTTATGCTTGTTTTACACAAGTATAACTCCATTGACTTCAGTATAGTTACTCCTAATTATCCTGAAGTGAAACTAGAATGGGGTCTAATGTGTAAGATACTACTCTCAATTATACCAATGTAAATCCAGAGTAACTCATAGGTGCCAGAGGGTACTCAACTTCTAGCTCTGCACCAGACCCTGCCCCTGTCCCAACTCTTCCCTCAAGGTCACATCCCCTCACCTCTTCCCACCCCTGCTCCACCCCACCTCGCGTCTTCCTACCCAGTTCTGTTCCTCCCTCAAGCTTGTGACATCTATACTCCTTCCTGCAAAAAAGCTGATTGCAACAGAAGGGAGGAAAGAGGTGGCAGGTTTACCAGTGGACAGGAGGCATTGAAGATAGAAGGAGGTGCTGAGAGGAGGGATACTGGTGGGAGCTCCAACCCCAGAGCACCCCAGGATCTGGTCTTACAGATTTACATGAGTGTACACCTGGTGCAAGATCAAAATCAGGTCCACGATGGCTGTTGTGGACAAAAGGTGGGATGGAGGCGAGGCCTGCAGCAGGGAGGGTTGTCATGGGCCCCGTGCCTGGGCCATGAAGCGTGGGTTGCTCCAGGCCCTGTGCACCCCTAGGGACAGCCCTACCATGTATTTCCTGGACATGACCTCTTGTTAGTTCCTCTAATCTCCATTTAGACAGATTTTTGAAATGTGAAGAAACAGACTGTATTTTACTTGCTCATTGCAGATCAGAAAGAGCAGTCTCCACAGTGTGATAACTAGGCTCTTCACCCAGGGTGAGCAAGCACACTTGCACCTTCTACGTTTGGGTCTCCATAATAGCTCCCGCTCCCACTCCTGGGATAGCAAGGCCTCCTGGACATCCTGAACATGGCCTGTGTTCAAGCACATCGGCTCTGATGGTGCGGAGAACTCATCCTCACCTTGCAGAGTGGGGCTGTGCTTCATGCACTATGTCCCCAGGGATAACTGACCACTTCTCTTGGTTCTCCATAGCTGCACCAGCTGCAAGTGGAGGGCACACTACACACCTGGGACATCGTCCCGTACCCGAAGGCTCCGCAGGCATGCACATCGTCTGGAGGAGTATCAGCAGCAGCACCTGTGAGCACTGCGAGCCCTGCACTTCACCCTTGACCACTGGCTGGAGGAAGACCTGCAGTTCCAGCAGGAGAGTTGGCGGGAGTAGCTTGCCCAGGGCCATGCCATCTGTGCCCGTCTGCAGACCCTGGTGCAGAGCATGTGTCCTCCTCTCACTCCAGCCTCTGCTGCCTCCCCAGCGATCGCTCCTCCTCACACCCTTCTCCCCCTCCCCTTCTCCCTTCACACACCCCTGGGGACGCTGAGGCCCCCGCATCCGCAGTACTGGGAGCCAGTGGGCACGGCGCCACTCCGACCCTGAACCTCTCCTCCTCCTTCCTCCCCCTTCCAGCTCCCTCCTCCCAGGTTTCCCCTTCCCCTCTCTCTTCCTCTCTCCTCCCCTCTCCTGCCTTCTTTCCTCAGTCTCACCTGAGTTTCCTTTCCCTTCCCCCAGTTTTGTTGAATAAACAGAGTTTGGTTTAATCAAAACATGTCTTTATTTTCCATCAGGAAGTGAGGTTAGGGGGGGTAAGTGGAGGGACATGAGGGTGTAATGAGGCACAAACCTCCAGTGGGGTGGACCAGGGAGGACTGTTACTGCTTCTCCTAGTAGAAGCTCTCCCTGAGGACCTTTTAGATGTGGACAGCCCCCTGATGGGCCTCCCGGATGGCAGCCATGTGGTGCTGTGTGTACAGGCTGGCCAAGCGCTCTGCCTCTGCCACCCAGCCTGGCGGGAAGGCCTCCCGCTTCCGTTCACACAAGTGCAGCACATAGCATGTTGCCACCACATGCAGAATATTCTGCTGCATGAGGTCCAGGCAGGTGAGGAGGCACCTAAACCGTGCCTTCAGCCGCCTGAAGGCACCCTCGACCATGATGTGGGCCCTGCTGAGCCTGGCATTGAAGGCCTGTCAGTAAAGGTTGAGGTGTTCCATGTAGGACTTCCTGAGCCAGGCCTGAAGGGTATAGGCCGCATCCCCTACCAGGATGGCATGTCCACATTCCCGACCCTGAAGTGGCGGTTGGGAAAGAAGGTCCCAGAGTGCAGCCTCTGGAGGAGTTGCGGTACACATGTGCATCGTGTGCTTTGCCCAATTAGCCAACATTAATGTCCAGAAAGTGGCCCTGGTGGTCAGTCACGGCCGAGAAGTAGTTCTTCTGGTTTATAAACATGGAGGCCTGGTGGTCTGGGGCACAGATTTCGATGTGTGTCCCATCGATGCCCCCCCCCTGCAATTGGGGAAGCCCAGGGAGCCAAACTCCTCGATGACCACATCGACATTGGTGAGGCAGATGACTCTGCGGAGCAGGACTCTGTTGACAACCCTGACCATCTGCACAGGGACACACAAAACCAAGTCACTGGGGAGCCAGGGCGCCTGAGAGTGCCCCCTCCCTGCCACTGCCCCGCTCCCCCACTCCCCCACTCCCCAGGAGCAACCCCCCCCTGCAATCCTGGCCACTGCAGGCAGTGCTTAGTGCGGGCGGGACAGAACAAACCCTCCCAGGGAGGGGACTTGCGCCACCTCCACACACAGTCCTTTCCTTAGGGCAGCCCATTCCCTCCTTCCACCCTCCCTCCTGGCACAGTCGCCGGAGATTGCCATATCTGCATGAGCACGGCACCAATGGTGGATCTCCCCATGCCGAATTGGTTCCCCACAGATCGGTAGCTATTTGGCATAGAGAGCTTCCAGAGGGCGATGACAACACGCATGTGGAGGGGAATGGCAGGCCTCATATGCATGTCCCATTGCCTCAGAGCTGGGGCAAGCCACTCACAGAGCTCCAGGAAGGTGTCCTCCTTCATCCTGAAGTTCTTGATCCATTGTTGGTCTCCCCAGCGTTCCAGAACTATGTGGTCCCATCAGTCGGTACTGGTGTCCAGACCCCAGATGCGGTGGGGCACGCTGGCGTCCAGGTCCTGCAGCTGCTCTGCCACATACTCTAGGAGGGTCTGGAAGAAGGCCTGGGGGTTGGGTTGCTGCAGATCCTGTGAGGCAACATGCAGAAAGTGCTGCCAGACTTGCAGCAACATATCCAAGAGGCGCAGAGTGCCCAGGGGCAGCTCTGGCTCCATGTTGGAGAGTGCTGTCGTGTTCTGAGTGAGGGCAACCAGAGCACGTAGAGAAAAAATGCTTTGCTGTCCCTCAGCGAGATAGGCAAGCAAGCAGGGAAACCTGAGAAGTGGCTGGCTAGGGGGGTCCCTTTAAGCACAAGCCTCAGATAGCCTCAAGCAGCAGCCACACAAGGTAACTACTGACCTGATGCCCTGACAGAACTGGTTCCGGTCGGCCTTAAATACGATTCAGCATCCAATCAGTGTGGACGCGCTATTTCAAAATAGCAAAACCCTATTTTGGAATGCATTCTGTGTGTAGACGCGTTATTTCAAAATATTTAATTTCAAAATAATGCTGTAGTGTAGACACACCCTTATAGACCCTGCCCTCCTCACCCCATACTGCAGTCCACCTCCCACCCAGATCCTGCATCCCTACTTCTGCAAACCCTGCCCCCGAGCTCAGCTGGGGGGAGGTGGGCTCTCTTGTAGCAGAAGATCTTCGGGTACCCTGAGGGAGAATGCAAATGTTTGCCCCTAGTTTTAGGGATAAAAAAATTACTTGATGGTGGCAGCGACCTCTCCCCAAAATCTGTGCATTTGTGATTCTGAGGGAAGTTTGTGTAACCAGTGCCTGTAGTGTCATAGAATCCTAGAGCTGGAAGAGACCTCAGGAGGTCATCAAGTCCAGCCCCCTGCCCAAGTTGATCCCAACTAAATCAACCCAGCCAGGGCTTTGTCAAGCCGAGATTTAAACACCTCCAGGGATGGTTTTCCACCACCTCCCTAGGGAACCTAGCCCAGTGATTCCCCAGCCTCCTAGGGAAATAGTTTTTCCTAATATCCAACCTAGACCTCTCCCACTGTAACTTGAGATCATTTCTCCTTGTTCTGCCATCCATCATTACTATGAACAGCATCTCTCTATCCTCTTTGGAACCTCCCTTCAGGAAGTTGAAGCCTGCTATCAAATCCCCCATTGCTCTTCTCTTCTGCAGACTAAACAAATCCAAATCCTTCAATCTCTCTTCATAGGTCATACGCTCCAGCCCCCTAATCATTTTGGTCGCCCTCCGCTGGACCCTCTCCAATGCCTCCACATCCTTTCTGTAGTGGAGGACCCAGAGCTGGACACAATATTTTAGATGTGGCCTCACCGGAGCCGAATAAAGGGGAATAATCACTTATCTGGATCTGCTGGCAATGCTCCTCCTACTGCACTCCAATATGCCATTAGCCTTCTTGGCTACAAGGGCACATTGTTGACTCATATCCAGCTTCTCATCCACTGTAATCCCAGGTCCTTTTCTGCAGAACTCCTACGTAGCCATTTGGTCCCCAGCCTGTAACTATGCTTGAGATTCTTCCATCCCAAGGGCAGGACTCTACACTTGTCCTTGTTGAACCTCATCAGATTTCTTTTGGTCCAATCCTCTCATCTGTCCAGGTCAGTCTGGACCTTATCCATGCCCTCCAGTGTATCTACCTCTCCCCGCGCTTAGTGTCATCTGTGAACTTACTGAGGGTGCAATCCATCCCCTCATCCAAGTCATTAATAAAGAGGTTGAACAAAACCAGTCCAAGAACAGAACTTTGGGGCACTCCACTAAAAACTGACCACTAACCTGACATTGAGCCGTTGATCACTACCCGTGAGGCCCAACAGTCTAGCCAGCTTTCTATCCATTTTACAGTCCATTTATCCAATCCATATTCCCTTAACTTGCTGGCAAGAATATTGTGGGTCACTGTATAAAAAACTTTGCTAAAGTCTAGGTAAATCACATCCACTGACTTTCCCATGTCTACAGAGCCAGTTACCTCATCATAGAAGCAAATCATATTGGTCAGGCACGACTTGCCCTTTGTGAATCATGTTGGCTATTCCTGATCACTTTCCCCTCTTCCAAGTGCTTCAAAATGGATTCCTTGAGGATCCTCTCCATGATTTTTCCGGGTACTGATGTAAGGCTGACAGGCCTATAGTTCCCTGGATCGTCATTCTTCCCTTTTTTAAAGATGGGCACTACATTTGCCTTTTTTCAATCATCTGGAATCTCTGCCGATCGCCATGAGTTTTCAAAGATAATGGCCAAAGGTTCTGCAATGACACTCACTAGTTTGCAAGCCAGCCCACAAAGATACTCTTTCCTCTCTTGGTTAGGTGGATCCCATCTCTTTCTAACAATCCTTGTGCCCGGAACAGAGTCCCATGGTTGAAGAAACGAAAGCCTTCTCTCCGACACCACCTGTGTAACCACGCATTTACTTCCTCAATTCAACGATCCCTACCTAGACCTTTTCCTTCAACTGGAAGGATGGACGAGAACACCACTTGAGCTTCAAATTCCTTGATCCTTCTTCCCAGCACTGCATAATCTGCTGTGACCTGCTCAAGGTCATTCTTGGCCATATCGTTAGTTCCTACATGGAGAAGCAGGAAGGGTTGACGATCCGAAGATTTAATCACTTTCGGAAGACTCCCAGTCACATCCTGAATGCGAGCTCCAGGTAAGCAGCACACGTCTCGAGATTGCAGGTCTGGACGGCAGATGGATGACTCAGTTCCTCTTAGGAAGGAGACCCCGACCACCACAATGCGTCTTCTTTTGGGGGTGGTGGTCGTGCAACCCCCATCCCTAGGACTACACATCCCATGCCTTCCGGTAGATGGTGTTCCCTTTTAAAGACTTTGTGAGCCCCCCCCACCTTCTGCATTTGGAGTGCCAGAGTGGGGGTCAGCCCTGACAACCTCAACCTCCTCTTTAGCAGAGAAGCATATATGATGTACATTGGGAAGCTCCTTAAAACCAGCATGATGTGCTCAGATATTTTGGTCGTTGGTACATTATCTTATAAATATTTCTGTGTGTGTGTGTGTGTGTGTGTGTGTGTGTGTGTGTGTGTGTGTTTGTTTGTCCCAAAAGATCTCCGAAACAGTAAGAGCTAGAAACACCAAATTTTGAACGGATACTACTGATTTCCTAATGTAAATATCTGGATTGTTATATCTTGAAATCGGTTCCCCTGGTTCCCCCAGAGCCCCAATTGGGCCCACTGATAATTCCGAAAGATCTCTGAAACGGTAACAGCTAGAAACACAAAGTTTTGCATGGATACTCCTGATTTCCTAATTTATATCACTGGACTGGTTATATCTTGAAATTGGTTCCCCCATCTGGATTGTTATATCTTGAAATCGGTTCCCCTGGTTCCCCCAGAGCCCCAATTGGGCCCACTGATAATTCCGAAAGATCTCTGAAACGGTAACAGCTAGAAACACAAAGTTTTGCATGGATACTCCTGATTTCCTAATTTATATCACTGGACTGGTTATATCTTGAAATTGGTTCCCCCAGAATCCCATTGATAATTAGCTTTTAGT